TTACACTTAAGGTAGACCATGGGTAATGCATTACCTCTTCTTATAGGCTAGAATCACTTGTCAACTACATTGAAATTGAGGTACTTGGGTTCAAACCTCAGAAGGGGCAACTTTTTTCTTTCCTTTTTCATTTAAACATTATTTATGTATATCTCATATATCTTATGTACGGTGGCACAAAGGTGACATGTGTGTGTCTTTATTTATCTCGTGCGCACGAGATACTATGTCGTGGCCATGAGTAACTAAGTCGTGGCCACGAGATAGCTAAGTCGTGACCACGAGATACTTTGTCGTGGCCACCAGTTACTAAGTCGTGTCAACGAGATAGCTAAGTCGTGGCCACGAGATACTATGTCGTGGCCACGAGTTACTAAGTCATGGCCACGAGTTACTAGGTCGTTGCCACGAGATAGCTAAATCATGGCCACGAGATACTATGTCGTGACCACGAGTTACTAAGTCGTGGCCACGAGATAGCTAAGTCGTGGCCACGAGATACTATTTCGTGACCACGAGTTACTATTTCGTGGCCACGAGTTACTAAGTCGTGGCCACGAGCTACTAAGTCGTTGCCACGAGATAGCTAAATCATGGCCACGAGATAAATAACCAATCAGATACCACCATTTATATGAATTTCCTTAATTAACTAGACATGTGCTGTAGTACAAGGATGCCCCTACTTCACCAGCCTGTAAAAGTGCCATTTATACAACTTATTGATTGGTCAATAATTTTACATTTAGCGTTACCCTGACCTTGATTTTTGACCCAATGACCTCGAAATTATTAGATGTCATCTACTGATCAGGTGCAATGATCTTTCTGGGTTATATAAACCATGACTTATCCTTCTAAATTATTCATCAGACAAGGATTTTACCTTATAGGCTATCTACTGGGTAATGTCCCTTCCAAATAAAATAAACCAGGAATTATTCCTTCTCATGTTATCGCATAAACAAGGTTAACAGGCCGAAGTACGTACAAACTGACCAAATCGATCACGAAATTGTCCCACCGAAGGGCTATAGTCAAAACTAATATCTGATTGGCCTTGGAAGGTGACTTTCTAATATGATCCTAAAGACAAGTTCACAGTGAATACCTTCAGTATTTTCAAAGATTAAAATTGCATGTAAAAGTAAGTTGTTAAGTTTAAAAACGTGGCCAAGACTTAGCTATCTCGTGGCCACGACTTAGTAACTCGTGGCCACGACATAGTATCTCGTGCGCACGAGATAAATAAAAACACACAAATGTCAATTTTGTGCCACCGTATTTATGGAAGAAAAGTATTTGTTTTTAATTATATAATTATTGTAGGTATTTATTTGCTAAAAAATGCAAATTTTCATAGCAAATATAATACCTGATATTTTCAAAGTTTAATAAAATAAAACTACACTGTAAAAGTATTTTATATATTGCATGATCAACAAATATTCTTTTAAGAAAATTTAGGCAAACTTTGAAAACAGCCCGCCCTTGTGGTATATTTAGGGGTATTTTGAATAAGGCTTTTTATATAAGGAAATGGTCAAATAAGTATTTAAAGTTTGTGGGATAGGGTAACATTTTTATACATATTACAAAAAAAACGTTCTTTTTAGAAACAATCATTTAGCTCGTGTAATTTGTTATCTGAATGTTAATTTTTGTTTCTTAACAATGAGCAATAGGAAAACATTGTTCATAATGATGATATTATAGATTATTTAGAGTTTCGTCATAACTTAATAAAAGCCCTTCTAATAGCAAAGTTTTAGTTCAGAAATATATCCATAACTCATATTTAAATTTGCATACAGGTGACCTTTTATACATATAACTGTCCTGTTTTGTCAATTTTACAGTTCCTTATAGTGCCCATTACCCATGGTATACCCTAACATAATAATATCTGTCATATGTGGCGGTTCAGATTTAAATATCCGTCCCGAGGGTAACCGCCCATTTTCTTGCATGCTTTACCACATTCCATCATATTTTAATAAATTCTTTACCTTAATAAAAGAAATGTCAATGGAAATCTAAGTCAATACACCAGTAACTATTTTCTTACATTACAACTTCATTCATAACGGTAAAATTACGTCATCCTAAGCATGCCATTGTATAGCACGCGACTCATATATCACTCCCTATGCCAGATGAAATTTCCTGTCAATGTTTTTAAAATATGCGTTTTCTGAGAAATTATTCACAGTCTCTGGAGTTATTTAACTAAATGCGTTTGAAATTTTTATTCTGGAAAATGTGCAAAATTACTGTTTCTTGGACCATTTGTATATATTGTTAAGTGATAGGCAAAGGTTATAAATTACATGAAAAATAAGTGATGTTATGTAAAACAAAAATATAAACTTGTTATGTTTGGCTCTAATGACTATACATTCTAAAAAACATTTTACTCTGTGCACTTAAGTTATTATTAAATAAGCGTAAGTGATATAATTGTACCACTTACAATAAGTACCTCTCCTTTAAATGTAAGACATATAATGTAATTGGTTCCTTATTGTTCGAATAAAAAGTAGTTTTTCTTTTGAGAGGCAAGAAAACAGCCAACATCCAATTTAAAACTAAGAGCAATTAAGTGCCTATTTGACATAAATGAAAATGAAACACACCAAAAACAACAATAAACTCTCTTTAGATTTAGGAATATAAAGAATGTTTGACGATAACTTTTATCACCATTATTCAAATGAATATTGAACAAACGGTATCAACATTTTTTTCTTATCAATAAAGAACTGGAATTGTTTCAAGTTGCTTATAAAATTAATTATCATATATGGACGAATCGTGTGTACTAGATTTTAGAACGGTTGAAAACAAATAGGAATATGCAGTTATTTGTCAAAGTAAAAGTTTTTCTTCTCATTGTATATGTCATTGGTTTGATAAGTTCAACAAAGGAACTTGATCGACTGAAGTCAATTGTCAAACATTTGGAAACTAGACTTAATTTCGAATTTACACTCAGAGACGAAGATATTGCTGAAATAACAGTGCGACTGAATGACATCGATAAAGTGTTAAATGAAACCATTGGAAAAGAACATTCTATACCTCCAGTGGCCACAAAAGCTAGTAAGATTGATTTTGAAACAGTCGATACATTGAAAGATGATTTTAATAGACTCAGGGCTGCGTTCAACGAGGAAAAGTCTGAGGCTAAAAGGTTCCGACGGGACATTCCAAAGATTGAAAACAATTTGATATCCCTCAAAGAAGATGTTGAAAGTTATTGCAAAATCGCTGTTAATAATACTGATCAATTATTAACTAACTTTAGGACGGTCAAACATGTGTCAGAAGACCATATTATATCGTCCGAAAATGACCAGAAAGTGTTAAATAGTAAGGTGGAACAGGTACAACTAAACACTGAGAATATGTCTAAACAAATTAAAGACATTAAAACTCTTGTAACTAATTTATATTCTCACATAGTTTACTTATTTCAAGCTTCATCGTGTCATATTAAACAAGGTTTATTATATCATACCTCCTGTAAATCGTTAAGAGATATGAACATAATTGGAAATGGAATATACAAATTACGACAGGTGATTCAAGTGTACTGTGACCAAACTACAGACGGCGGGGGCTGGATAGTATTTCAAAGAAGACTGAATGGAGAAACAGATTTTTATCGAAACTGGACTGAGTATAAAAACGGCTTTGGTGATCTCAATGGTGAGTTCTGGCTCGGTAATGATCATTTGAGTCTACTGACATCAGATGGAGAACACGAACTTCGAATAGAGATTGAAGATTTTGAGGGAAACAGTGCATATGCTAAGTACAGTAAGTTCAAGATATATCCGGAAGAAAACAATTACAAACTTGAGGTAAGTGGATACAGTGGAACTGCTGGAGATTCTCTTGAGTGGCATAATGGAATGATGTTCTCAACGTATGATAGAGATCATGATAAATCGTCGTCAAATTGTGCGGAACGTTGGCATGGTGCATGGTGGTATAACCGTTGCCACTATTCCAATTTCAATGGACAGTATTATAACCAGCATGGCAAAATATATAGTACTGGAATTAACTGGTATCATTGGAAGAATAATCACTACAGTTTGAAAAAAGTAGAAATGAAATTCCGTTAACATGATCAACGAAGATATTATCACAGTAAAAAACTATTTAAACATTGATGAATAATTGATGAAATATGACGTGGGTAATTTTTAGTTATGTAAACTTTAAAGAAACTTATCTTGAGATAACTGATCAAGAAAAAAAACTAAGAACACGCATAGTCTACTCACTGTAAGGTTCACTAATTCCATAGTTACGTTGCTGATTGCAAATGTTACCTGACATTAAATTGTGCCTCATACATATATGTTTTGTTTCAAAGTCTTCAAACAATTTAAAGATATATAAAATATGTAGTGCATTTTAACGTTATATACATGTATTATCTTACTAGATACCATTCAAAGTAAAATGAGGAAGGCAATATGTGAATATAGAATTTATACTGTTATGAAATGACTACAGGATTAAAGATTGCAAAATGTGTACAATGTTCTGTACAGATATCACCCGGATAAAATTGAATTTTACCTTGATAGTGCATGGAATTGATTGGACTCACTTAACTGTCCAAAACAGTTAAAATGGATATCGAAATATCCCACAGGAAATGTGTTTGACGGTCATGTTGTATAATCCAAACACTGATGACATAATATTTATTGAAAAATTATGGAGACAAAACTATACATACCTTTAAAACTATTGTCGCAATGAAAAGGCAATGTTTACCACTGATTGAATAACCAGATTCTATGTAACTAGCATTGTATGTATTTACCTATCTATTATAATGACCGGGAACGAATACGCAAGGCATCTTTAGGACGTAAAGACTACATGAAAGCAAATAATGTTGGAGTTGGGGTGCAGCTTCCAAAAGAATGGCGCGAAGCTCGACAAAAATTATATCCTATCTTTAACGCTGAGAAACGGAAGGGAAATAATGTTAAATTCATAAGGAGAAAAGCTTTTCATCAGTGGCATTGAATTTAAATCACAGTATACCAACAACACATCATAGGGAAGTCGTGAAGAGAACCCACTTGATTTATTATCATGGAATGTCAACGGGTTAGTACGGAAAATCGCTGATCCAGATTTTGTGGAGTTAATCAAAAACATGACATAAACATCTTAACTGAAACTTGGTTATCACAAAAAACACATTACAACCTGAATATTCAAGGATATAACGCACATCATTTGTACGGAAACAAATCTGTTACCACACGTAAAGGACGCTACCCTGGTGGAATTACAATATATTATAAATCTTAATTGTGTGACAAGATTAACTTTATAGAAGAACATCAGTGTGGTATTATGTGGTTTAAACTATGTATATCTATATTTAACTCTAATACGGATGTATTTATTTGCTGTACATTCCTCCTTTTGGTTCAAAAGTCATTAATCGCAATCAAGAAGATTTTTTTGAATTGATTGAAATAGGTATTGAAAAATATTGCATTCAAGGTCAAGTCTTTGTCACTGGCGACTTTAACTCTAGATCATCTAAGGAATCTGATTTTATAGTATATGATAGATTTATAGATGATAATACTGATCTTATAGATAATGAGTACAATATCTTAATTCGAGCAAACAAAGACACAATATTAGATAATCATGGGAAGCGATTAATACAAATGTGTAAGACAACAAATTTATTAATATGTAACGGCCGACTTCACAGCGACAAGAATATAGGTGACTTTACTTTTATCGGTAATAATGGATTGTCAACAGTTGATTATTTATTAACACATCGGGTAAACTTTGATATGATATCCCTCTTTGATATTATGAAACCGACCGAGTTTTCAGACCATAACGCTATACATATACATTTGCGATGTAAACCACGCCTTCGTCCGAATCGTGATGACGTAGTACCGAATAGCGAGTCGTATATTGCATGGGATAACACCTGAACACGCGTGTTGAATTATTTAGGAATGCTTTAATAGATAACAAAACGAATATAGATCAAATCGTGCAAAACTTACATTTGACAAGCGTTGATCAATCGGTCGAACAATTCACAGTTTATATGCAAGAACATGCTTTCAGTGTTTTTGGTAAAAACAGAAAAATAGATAAGCCGAGTTTATGTAAATTTTCAAAAGAAAAAAAAGAAATGGTTTAATCAAGAGTGTTACAATGCCCGCAATGAATTCAATGTAGCGAGAAATTACTATTTAAGACATAAAACAACATAAAATAAAAACAATTATTTGAATAAAAAAATAAAATATAACAGTGTAAAGAATAAATGTAAAAAACTTTTTAAACGTAACGAGGGTAAACGTGTTTCAAAATTAGCAAGTTCAAATCCAAAGGCTTTCTGGAAGGACGTTAAATAGCAATATAAACAAAATAACGGGGGTCCAAATAATATATCTATTGACGATTTTTATATGCATTTCAATAATTTATATGGAACGCAACCTGTGTCAGATTATAACTTGAATGATCAACAGGAACAGATTGTCCAAAATGATTGTTTAGATGCGTTATTCACTATCTCGGAATTGAAATATGCTGTTTACAGTCAAAATAATTCAAAAAGTCCGGGTGAAGATCACTTGATAGCCGAAGTATTTAAACACTCTTTTGATATTATTTCCCCTTTCTTACTTCAATTATATAACAAATTATTCACCGAAGGTATCTTCCCTGAAACTTGGCAACAAGGCATAATAGTTCCGATTTTCAAAGGCGGAACAGCTGAAGCAAAAAAATTTCGAGGAATCACATTGAATAATATTTATCTAAAATTTATTCTAAAATGCTAATAACTAGACTTACTAAATGGGCAGACGAAAATTCAATATTAATAGATAACCAATATGGTTTTCAAAAATCAAAATCAACCCATGATTGTGTATTCATTCTTCATGCTATATTATATCGAAAACATTATCAATGAAAAAGAAGCTATATGTAGCATTTTTAGACTGGGAAAAAATGTTTGATCGAATAGATCGAGTAATGTTGTGGCAAAAATTAATTACTGCAAACGTAAGCACTAAACTTATGACAGCTTTTAAATCCATGTACTTAGTTGTAAAATCAGTAATTCGATATGAATCTAAGATTTCAGATCCCATAACATCCTTTATTGGAGTAAAGCAGGGAGTCCAAGCTAGTAGCATACTCTGTCTTTTTTCCTAAATGATATTGTAGAAAATATTAATAGTAACTTAAATGGTATTTTAAGTATTGATGACGTAAAAATATTTTTATTATTGTTCGCTGACGACGGTGCATTATTTGCTTATGACCCTCAATCTTTACAGTCAATGTTAAATGATGTACAAACTTACTGCAATACATGGAGACTTCGGTTGAACGTCAGTAAGACAAAAATAATGATATTTGAAAACGGTCGTCATACATCATATGATTTTTATATATGTAACTCGCGTATTGACATCGTTCAGTCATTTAAATACCTTGGTGTTCATTTGTTTAAAAACGGGAAATGGAATCGCACGCAACAGAGAATCGCTCAACATGCTCAGTTTTCACTTCACAATCTATTTATTGTTTACAACCAATTAGAACTACCAGTATCCCAAAAAATATATCTTTTTGATTCTCTTGTAATGTCTACTCTTAATTACTGTGCGGAGGTATGGGGTCATCACGCTGGACCAGATATTGAGATTGTACTTACGAAATTTTGTAGGAAAGTTCTATGCGTAAAACGCTCAACAAACGTAGATGCTCTATACGGCGAATTAGGGAGGACACCAATGAATGTGTATCGAAAAATTATATTGATAAAATACTGGGTTAAACTAATTACTTTGGATAATCAATCACTACTATTTAAAACTTATATATGGAACAGAATTAGTGCATTTATTCCATCTTGCTTTATGATATCGGGACTTACATTATGCTTGCTTCTATACTTCTTTATGACAATGAAAACCTGCGTTTTGCTGAATTCAATCATGCCTTGTGATTACTGAATGCACTTTCATGTAATTGCAACCTTATGTGTTCCCTACTAAACCATCAAACTCACATATTTTAATATGCTATATGTTTAATTGCATCTTTTATTAAGGGGAACGTATTATGTTTGGTGTTTAAGATAATATCCTTTGCTTGTTCTTGATATAACTATATGTAACATGGTAAGTTTCTGTCAGTACCTTTAATTTTCTATAAATCTGCCACTTATATTGTCGACATTATGTCACAATAAATTATTAATTTTGATCAATAATTGGCGAATTTGATGTGTCTTAGCATTCATATGCTTCAATATATTCACTGATTACAAATATAATGCAATACATGATCACTGCGCATCGACAACGAAGATGACAACGATAGCGATATTATAGTCGCATGTGACAGTACGCACTAAGCAGTTGGCAGTAAGCATAATGCGAGTTGCAATAATTTGTGTTCATATTATGACAGCAGGTGTCGCTTTGTCGGTACATCCCGTTATTTTCCGGATGATCCCGTATTTTGGCACGTGGAGTAAACAAAGTTACGTCCCCTTTATACAGGGGCGTATACAGAACAGTGTTAGTTGGGGACTGACATGTAAAGGGAAAATTTACTGAAAAACAAGAGAACACGATGCGACAGACGAAAAGTGCGTGTTTTTGAAGATTCCGCCAGCATGTGGAAAAAAATGTTATAGATGTCTCTAATAACTCATCCTACAAGTGGCAACTCACCTCTTATACAATTGTTTACACTTCTTTTTGAGCGTGTGTGATAGTCGTATGAGCAATAGTGAAATTGAATTTTAAGATATACTATGCTCAAACTTACGGTGGCACAAAGGTGACATGTGTGTGTTTTTATTTATCTCGTGCGCACGAGATACTGTGTCGTGGCCACGGGTTACTAAGTCGTGGCCACGAGATAGTTAAGTCATGGGAACGAGATACTATGTTGTGGCCACGAGTTACTAAGTCGTGGCCACGAGATAATTAAGTCGTGGGAACGAGATGACTAAGTCGTGGCCACGAGTTACTAAGTCGTGGCCACGAGATAAATAAGTCGTTGGAACAAGTTACTATGTCGTGGCCACGAGAAAGTTTAGTCGTGGCCACGAGAAAGTTAAGTCGTGCGAACGAGATAAATAACCAATCAAATTACACAATTTATATGAATTTTCCTAACAAGGATGCCCCTACTTCTCCTGTCCGTAAAAGTGCCATTTATAAAAGTTATTGATTGGTCAAAGATTTAGCGTAATTGTGACCCTGATTTCTGACGAAATTGCCTAAAAATTATCAGGTGTCATCTACTGATCTTTTTGAGGTTATATAAACTACGGCTTATTCTTTCTAAATCATTCATCAGACAAGGAATTTACATGATGTGTCATGTTTATCTGACCCGTGACCTCAAACATCGTTATAGGATATCTACTGTCCGTGGGCAATGTCCCTACCCAATAAAATAAACCAGGACTAAGTCCCTCTCAAGTTATGGTATAAACTATGTTGACAGGCCGTTTTACGTACAAAATGACCAATTCTATCATAGAATTGTCCCAACAAAGGGCTATAACTTAGTCAAAATTAATGTCTGATTTATGGGCCTTATGATCCTAAAGACATGTATCAAGTTCAAAGTGAACACTTTAGTATTTTCAAAGATTAATGTTGCACGTAAATCTTTAAACAGTAATTTTCTAAGTTTAAAAAATCATGGTGTAATCTGAGTTAATTATCTAGTCTGCACGACTTAGTTATCTCGTTCCCACGACTTAAACGGCTTGGTAGCTCAGTCTGATCAGGATCCATGCTGTTCGCTTTCCAACTCTTTTACAAGTAGAGAAACTGATAGCGAACAGCATGGATCCTGATCAGACCGCGCGGACGCGCAGGCTGGTCTGAATCCATGCTGGTCGCAAACCCATTATGTTGGTTTTGTCGTGACGCGGCTCATTTGTAATTGACTATGCACATGTTACACAAATAAACAACTTCCTTCTTTCCTTATTATACATGTATATTTTAATGTGTTACATACCTATTCGCCACTATTAGTGACTCTGAGACATTTATCAAGTTAAAAGGCCAATAATTTTTGCCTTTTAATGTACAAGTCATTAGATAAAGACCTTTGCAGCTTAACAACTGGATGACAGCATAATATGTTTTGGTAAGGGAGTACACTAAGAAGACTATTGCATGAAACTGACACGTATATATTCCATCCCAGCTCATGAACGTATATTTGGGGGTAGGTGCAG